TTGCCCATATTTCTCCCTCTAAACGTTGGTAGGTTAGAATCACCACCTTTTGATTAGCATTCCAGCACTTAACACACTGCACCACCAGGTGTCCTCCCAAGCATGAACCCTGATTTTAATTATTGTTTTATTTGTGATTCTCTGCCATTTTATTTTTCTGCAATGTAAGATTGTGTTTGTTGTTGTTGTTGTTTTTAAGAAAGGGTCCACGTTTTGTTTCCTGCACCAGCGTGGCTCATGCACAGAGCAGATTAAGGGCTTCCTCACCCTCCTTGGCCTCAGGGTGGTGTGTAGAGTTTCTCCATCCACCTGTGAGCAAAACACCTGCAGGGCAGGGATGGGTCGGCAGCATCTCTGTGGTCCCTGAACCAGCCCGGCTGGAAGCTTTTCCTAATTCCCGTGCTTCATTGAAGAATGAAATGGTTTGGCCGAACAGGCTGGGAGGCCTAGGTCTCCTGAACCAGAGCCCAGCTCTGCCTGTGACCTGGCCAAGTACACCGGCTGATCCCACAATAAGAAGTGTGCACCAGCCACGCCCCTGCCCCAGGGCCTCTCTGGTACCTTTGATGTGCCCAGGGGTCTCCAAACTAACCCTTTCCTGAGCCCCAGACATTGTCCACACTTGGCTGCCCTCACAGGCCTCCTGCCTGGTCCCTTGAACCTCAGGGACCTTCTCTGCCCTTCCACACCTCACTTTAGGAAAATTAAAGGATGAGTCTTTGGAAGCCAGTCAAATCACATGCCACAGAGGAGCTGAAAGCCCCAGGGAAGTCATTTAAGTGCCTGCACATTCTGACATGTTTTTTGAAGCGTTCAAAAGGGTGTGGCTTCAGGGAAGAGATTAAATTGTTTGAAAAATACGAAAACAGCTCTGAAAGCAAAACATCACGCTGGCAAACAGCTCTGGGCCTCAAGGGCAGCGCCTGAAAGCAGCGTTCTGTGTCTACACTGACCTGTCCTGAGGTTCTGCATGTGACCTGTGCTTCCATGAAACGTAGCAGTGTAATGTGTAACATGTCAGCTGGTCAACCCAAAGGTTGGTGGTTCAAATCTGCTGGCTGCTCTCTGAGAAAAAGGGGTGTCTTTCCCCTATAAAGATTTACACCCTTGTCAGCAGTTTTAAAGAAGAATCTCACTGCTTTCCCAGATCTAAAATAAAGTGCTTTGGATATTGTTGTTGTTATATACCATTGAGTCACCTGCGATTCATAGTGACCCTATGTACAACAGCCCTAAACCTTGCTCTGTCCTATGCCGATCTCACTGTCTCCAACACACCCACCCCAATTACCCCAGTCAATGAATTAATCCACTTCATAGAGGGTCTTCCCTTCCTACGTTGTCCCTCCACACTCCCAAGCCTCATGTCCTTCTCCAAGGACTGGTCCCTCCTTGCAACATGTCCAAAGTATGTCAGACGAAACTTCAGAATCCTTGCCTCCAAGGAGCAGCCTGGTCTCACCCTCTCCAGGATGAAACTGCTTGTTCTCCTAGCCGTCCATGGTACATTCAATACTCTTCTCCAGCACCACAGCTCAAAGGCATCAGTTCTCCTTCTATCCTCCCTAGTCATTGTCCAGCTCTCTGATGCATAACAAGTGATTGCAAAGACCATGGCCTGTATCAGGCGCACCTTAGTCTCCAGAGGGACACCATTATTCTTCAGTACTTTGCAAAGGTCCCTAACAGCAGATTTTCCCATCGCTTTATGTCTTCTAATTTTTCTGGCTGCTGGTGCCAAGAGTGTTGACTGTGGAGCCAAGCAAACTAAAGCTGTGGACAATCTCAATCCCTTCACCATCCATTCTGATGCTGTCAGTTGGCCCAGTGGTGAGAATATTTGTCTTCTTGACATTGAGCCTCAAGATTTCCAGCCTTGGGAACCCAGTGGACAGTGGCTGTTAGTTGGAACCCACTTAACAGCTATGTGTTTAGTTTGATTTTTGGTTTCTGCCCAGCACAAGGCCCAGAAGCCCAGCTCAGTGAGGTCCAGAGGCCCAGTCAGTGCTGATGGCCACCCAGACTACTGAAACTTAACATGAACGAGCCCACAGACGTTTCAGCCGATTTTTTTAAAAAAGACGTTATTTATTGTTTTCACTATAATGATTACGCCCACTGGAAAATTCACAAAGTACATTAAAAAAAATTTAAAAAAATGGGAAAATGTCCATCTTTTCTGCCACCCACTATGGTTTTGTTTTCATGAAACACCATCAACCCAGTTACCGTGGGCTTTATTCTGATTCAGTGTGACTCTGCGTGTGTTGGAGTGGAACTCGGCTACACAGGGTTCTCAGGGCTGACTTTTCAGAAGTAGATTGCCAGGCCTTTCTTCCAAGGTGCCTCTGGCTGAATTCAAACCATCAACCTTTTGGTTAGTAGCTGATCACTTAACTGTTTATCCCATTCACGGATGTCAATAACGGAAGAGCCATCAATGGTTTCTAATTTTATGTCTCCTTTAAAAGAATAATAATAATAATAATGATAATAATAAAGCTTTGCTTCCCTCCTCCCTAGAAAGAGCTTGAAGCAGGCTGAGGGATCTACTTCCACCTTGTGACTGCTCAGTAAGGGACCAAGCAGCCTTGAAGGTCCTAGGTCAGGGGGAGAGGCGTGAAGGCCACAAGGTTTGAGCAAGGGGCCAGCCTTGAGAGTGGCCTAGGCCACAGCTGCTCATCTCTCCATGTCTAACCCATATATCCCTCCCAGAGTTTTATTTCCATGAGCATAGTTTCTATTTTGTACTTAAAAATAAATTTAAATATTCTGATTATTGTCGATGTTGTTTTGTGCCATTGAGTTGGAAGCGAACCGTAGCTGACCCTCCTTCTGCTGGGTTTTCAGAGGCAGTCAACCACACGGAGGAGATTGTCCACCATGCTCATGCTCTGATTATTAAATACATATACTTTTCCCCTCTCCTCTTTTGTTCTCATCATTAGAGCCTAAGCATTTCCCATCACAGACTCATTATAAGTAAAGCTTTTCAGTGCCTGTGTAATAATGTAAAGCCCGAATGTTCTGTCCTTTACTTAAAGAACCCTCTACTACTTGGGGGCTCTGGGTGCATAGTCCATAGACAGTTGTGCTGCTGACCCATTCAAATCCAGCAGCCTGTCCATGGAAGGAAGACGGGCAATCTCCTCACGTGCGATTTGCAGCCTCAGGAGACCCACCAGGGTGTCTGTCCACTGTGAGTCGGTCCCAGCCCTTCAGCCGAGGGTTCTGAGGGCGAGTATTGGCTCTCACAGGGTCTCATGTGGCATCTCGAGCCGAAAGGCCGCATGCTTCTGGTGGTTCAAATCCACCACGGGCTCCAAGGGAGAAAGATGCACAGTCTCTTCCACTCAGACTGATTGTCCCGGAGACCCCAGGGAAGGTCACTATACGTCAGAATTCTCTCCAGCGTCGAGGGTGGAGTTTTATGGGACCCGTCGTTTGGTCATTGTAGATCAGAGTTGATGTGACAGCACTGGATTTTTTAGCACTGGATTCAGTTTCGTTTCACTGTTTTTTTATAATACCCTGCTGAGCCTTCGGTGCATTTCTGCTAATTCTGGGTTGTTTTGACAACATCTGCAGAGGGCTTAGCTAAGCAAAGCACTCTGGGAAACTGGAGGATCAGCCAGACACAGCTGTTCTCCTAAGATGCAGGTATAAATAACCTTAATCCCAAGTGGGCTACACTTGCTGTAGGCAGACAGCTAGAACCAGCATAGTAGAAGGGGTGCCCAGACTTAATTTTACCAAAATCACATGGAGAGTCTGAGACTTTGCACCCAGCGTCTGCAGATCAAGGATGAGGTGAGGCGTGGGTAGCCAGGCAAAGGGGGGCTGGTGAGGTGGGAGTCTGAGGGCCCCAGGAAGTGTCACGTCACCTGAAGCAGATGTGGAACAGATGTCATTGCTAGTGCTCGTCAGTCGACTGGCTGTGGCTGCACGGGTGCTGAATGAATGGAGGTGGGAGGTGGGTAGTTGGTAGAAACTGCTGTGCTTGATTAGTAATGTCTGCCCTGCACCTAAGGAGGTGGGGATGTATCCACCTGACATGCTGGGCCATCCCCAACCTGTGACCTTAATCTCAGGTGAAGCCCAAGCGCTGATGTCAGCTTGGCCTGTGCCAAAACGTACCTTCTGAAGTCTTTTTGATCAGTGCAAATAGGATTTTTTTTATGGGACAGACATTTCAGGCTGGTTGCATTTTCAGATCCTTTTCCGGATTTAAACCTGAAGAATGTGGTCCCAGAGTCTCACATAGGGGATGAGGGGAGCTGGCAGCTGAGGGGCCAGGTGGGCGCCCCGGCTTCTCTCTTGCTCTACACTCTAGAGGTCAGACCTGTTTCCTTCTTGTCTCGGCATCTCCAGTTTTGTGACAGGGACAGGCTGCCCTGACTTTATTGCCCAGACTCAGTACCCATCGTGTTGGTGGTGAGCGTGGGCCTGTTCCCTGGTGTTTGTCCCCAGAGCTTGCTCTGCCAACCTGCATTCTTTTTGTTTATTTTATTGTGATTTGCATGACATTTTAAAAAGCAGTTTCATATTCATTCAAGTATTCATAAACATTTTGCTTTACGTTACTTATAATAACCAGCATCTAATTGCATTTTACCCACTTCTTCCCTATAATTCTCATTTCCCTTAGTCCTTCTATTCCACCCCTTCCTCTTCCTGGACTTTATCCTTGGGCACCTGCTGCTCTTGTGACCTTACAGGATTGGTTATTTAAGGAGTGGGTACCTCCTGGTGTTACTGGTTGCCCTACAGGCTTGTCTGCTGTTTGGCTGATAGTTTTGGGGTGTGAGTTTTGCTCCATTCAAAGGGTGAATAGGTACCCTAGGATTTCTACAGTGATCCCTTTGAGAGTGGCCAGCAGTGGGCCCCTGCACTCTGCCAGTCTGTCCTCACATGTCCCTCCATCAGCCCCCTCAGATGCCATGATGCAGCAGCCCCAGAGCCTGGCCTCACGTGTCCCTCCTTCAGTCCCTACAGGTGCCATGACGCAGGAGGCCTTCGACAGGAGTGTGGAGGAGGCACAGGCGTGGATGGAGGCTGTGCAGCAGCGGCTACAGGTCAGCGACAACACGCAGGGACCCCGAGCCGCGCTGGAGGCCAGGCTGCGAGAGACAGAGGTACGTGCAGGGCGGCTCCACCCCAGACCGGACCCCACCTCTGTCCTGCCATTGCCCCTCAGGCCTCAGTTTCCCCTCCTTGGGATGACTCTCAAGCTTGGAGGTCCACACTACATACTTTAGCGGTATTGCAGGTTCACTTCCAGACCGCTGCAGTAAAGTGGGCATTACAATAAATGGAGGACAGTAAACCGAGGTCCGCCTGCATAAACCTCTGCTGGAGGCTTGTTGAAGTCAAGCTCCAGCCTGCCTTGTTCACTGGCTGTCGGGACAGTGATGCTGCTGCCCCAGGACCACGCTCTGATGGCGCAGCTGGGAGCTTGTCATTTGACCGTCCATCCTGGGCTGAGACACCTGTGCAGGCAGGTGGGACCCCAGTCCCCAGCCCAGGCCTGATTTCCCGCCCCTTCCCTGCTTCCGCGTGGCTGAGGTCCCGGCCAACGGTGGGCAGACCAGGCCTGCCTTCAGCGGGGGTAGAGGGGTATGCCGTGAGAAGGGGCCCTAGTGGTGTCTAGCTTCCCCCCCCCCGCCTGGCCCAGGACAGGGGCTCGGTGCCTGTGACCCTAACTGACCTCAGAGCAGACAGCCTCCTGGGTTTCCTACCACCCCGGCCTCTGTGTCTTCGCTCCCCGCACTGGATGCCTAGCTGGCTATGGGTGTGTTTGCAAAAGGTTTCACACGGCGGCTGGCACCCTGGGCAAGGTACCGGCGAGCTGGCAGAGCCGGGCGAGTGTAGGCCGGCACCTTTTTGGTTCTCAGGTGCTGACATACGTCTCATGCCCACAGTCCCCGCCCACACGCTCCTCCCCAAGGGCAGGTCTTGGTCCTCCTCTCCCAATTGTGAATCCTCTTCACAGCCAAGGGCATCTTAGCTCTTTTGGGATTGATATCCAAAAGCCAAACAGCTCTCTACCTCTCCTTCCTTCTCTGCCTCTGGCCAAGTCCCATTTCCAAACACTTGAGCCATCTCCTGAGGCTTGATGCTAACACCACCTCCTCCAGGAAGCCTTCTTGCATTGCCCGGAGTTCCCATGATGCACTGCATCCTCTCAGGCTCCTTTCACATTGTTTGTGCTCTGTCTATAGTTCCCCTCACCCCACAAGCTCTGCACCCAGGTCGTGCCCTGTTCATCCTGGCCCTAGTGCCCGGCCCCTAGATTAGCTGGTCTTGGCTGGGTTAGAGGAAATAACCGCGTCTCTTAGCTTCTCGATCCGAGGTCTTCCCCTCCCCACAGCCCCCACCTCACCTCACCCTCATTGGCACCTTCAAATCAACAGCTTCTTGGGGCTGTCCTCAGATCTCCTTCCTAGCTGGCCAAATGCCCTGGTCAGCTCCTCCTGGCCCATGTCCTTGCTGCTGCTGGCTGTGAAAGACCCTCATAGCCAAGAGGGGCCAGGGAAGGAGCGTGGGGTCAACATCTTGAAATTTGGCCTTCAATTCAGTTACAGTCTCTGGTCTCCCTGATACTTGGCACCCTGCAAACCCCCTACCCATCCCCACCCCCAGGATTTCAGAGCAAATAGTTCAGTCTCAGACTGGGTTTGGTGGGGTGTCCTGGCCACCCTCGGGGCTAGTTGGCCAGCTCTCCTCATTCACCGCTGTTGAGTCAGTTCTGACCCGTAAGCGAGTCCATATCAGGTTTCTGAGACGGAATCTTAATGGGAAGAGACTGGCCATCCTTGTGCTGAGGAACACTGGTGGATTTGAACTGCTGGGGATGCAGCCGGCCAGGGAAACGTCAGACTGGGTCTCTTGCTGAGGGCTGCGGGTCTCGGAGTCCAGCTCATGCCTCCCTCCTGGGCATCTAAGGGGCAGGGGCAGCATCCAGGAAGAGGCCAGAGTCAGAGAGACCAGGCACTAGGGAAGAGGCCGTGTCATCGAGGGGACTTGCTGGGCCTGGTATCTCTTGTTGGGTGTGGAAACTATGATCAGATTAGCTTTTCCCGTAAAGCTGCAGGCTCCCCCGATTTCTAGCACTAGATTCTACGCCCGTTAAACTGAGCAGTGAGTGGAAAGGGGGACCCTATGCTTCGGCAGAGATGCTTCATGCAAAGTCCAGGGGTGTTGTGTGTCCCCAGAGTCCTCATCAGTGAAACAAGGACTGCCATGTGCCCATGAGGGCAGCCTCTCTAGGTGCTGTGGACTAACTCAAGTGCTAGACTACTTACTAAGCCAAAAGTCAGTGGTTCAAATCCACCTTGACGTACCTTGGAGGTAAGGCCTGGTGATCCGCTTCTGAAATCATCACCTTCCACGCGCCACGAGGTTACCAGAAGTCAGAATTGGCATGATGAAAACTACCAACAGCAGCAGCTTGGCATCCTGGGCTGTGGGTGTAGTGTCTGTCCCACAATGTCATTACCAGTGTCATCACCACACCCTTGATTTTTTTTGTTTTTGTTTTTCGTTCCTGGGTGGTCCAACACACTGAGAAGTTGAAGTTCGAATTTACACAGAGGTGCCTCAGAAGAGAGACCTTGACCTACTAAAAACCCAAGGCACTGAACACCCAGAGTGGAGCACAGCTCACTCTGACACACGGGAGGCCACCGGGTCAAATTGATTGGTGACAGCTGATTTATTATTATTAATAATCAGAGAAAATCTCTTTCTGCGGCAGGACGTTGAGCCTCTTTCCCACACAGGCCTCCATTCTGAATGGTGTGGCGTTCGCTGGGTGGTGGGCAGTCCTTGTCTTGAATATTCAGGACTGGCCCTCGGGTCTCCAGGCCCCCCTGGTTACCTTGGACGATCCATTGCTCACACACTGTCCTCTGAGGACCTGCCACATTCTTGTCAACCCCTCCCACCAAACCAAACCCCATCTCTTCTCCTGGGGTCTCTTCGTTCTGCCTGCTTCTCCACACCCCCTCATCCCATGCAGACTGTCCGGGATGGGCACAGTTAACTTAGCTTTGGATAAGCGTGGGATGGGAAGTCCTTCCGCACCACCATCATCTCAACAATACTAACATCTTCGTTACTCATTTGCTCACACTGGTGGGGGGATGTCGATGTAATTGCTCAAATTCTACAAAAGATCATTTGTTGTGGGCTGCACCTGGTAGGCCTTCACCTCATGGTGACCCCGTCCACAAGGGCATGAAAAGCTGCCTGGCTCAGCACCATCCCCATACGGGTGTGGATTGAACCCTTGTGATCCATGGTGTTGTCACTGGCTGATTTTTGAAAGTAGATCCCCAGGCCTTTCTGCCTGGTCTCCTCCAATGACAGGTGCCTGCTGGCTGCCCTGAGGTGTCTGGGCCTGGACTTGAACCTGGGTCCTCAGTATGGGAGGTGAGAATTTGCCCCCTGCAAAGTGGGCTAAGTATACCGAAAGCAACCTCATGACCCCCAAGTCGGTTCTGACCCACTGGGTCTCCCTCGGGGTTCCAGAACTGCACATCCTCGTCCTGCATAGCAGCTTCCACACTCCAGCGGCTGGGTTAGCAACCAACACACAGCACACTGCGCCACCGGGTTCCTCACAAAACAGATCAACTTATATTCATTGAAAAGCAGATTAATATTATTTTGACTAATAATGAGTAGGTTGTTGTTGTTGTTGTTCTGTGCTGGTGAGTCACCTGTGACTCATCCTGTGCCAGTCTCACCATCTCCGACACACCTACCCCCATTACCCCAGTCACTGTGCCAGTCTCACCATCTCCGACACACCTACCCCCATTACCCCAGTCACTGAATCAATCCACCTCATCGAGGGTCTTCCCCTCCTGTGCTGTCCCTCCACCCTCCCAAGCATGATGTCCCTCTCTAAAGACCGGTCTCTCCTCACAACATATCCAAAGTATGTCAGACGAAGCTTCAGAATCCTTGCCTCCAAGGAGCAGCCTGGTTTCACCCTCTCCAGGATGAACCTGTTTGTTGTCCTAGCAGTCTGTGGTAGGATTATTTTAAAATAAGTATATGAATTAATTTGACATGAAGAGTATTGTCTAAATTGTGAATAATTAATATTAATAATTAATATTAACCAGTTTGGAAAAGGCAGAGGTCAACAAGAGAGGAAGACCCTGGACAAGGAGAATTGTCACGGTGACACCTCCAGTGGGCTTGAACGTGGCCGAGGCCGTGAGGATGGTGCAGGACAGAGCAGGCTCCTCTCTGGGCTGTTGTTCCTAGCGTCGCTTTGAGTCATAGACGACGCAACAGCACCTGTCAACAGTAACACTGCTGTCCCATCCAGCGACGGCAGCCCTTTAGGATGGAGTAGAATTGCCCCGTGGGCTTCCAGGCTGGAATCGTGCAAACAGCCTGTCACATCTTCCTCCCGGGGAACAGCTGATGCTTGAAAATGGGGATGTTTTTGTTAACGGCCACACATTGTAGCTGTGTGCTATCGAGCTCATGAATTATTTATTTCTGGATATTAATTATTAGTGGATATGATTTGCATATCACAGTAGCCGTGTGGGGTGGATGAAGCAGGAACTGTCAGCACTGTCTCTGGTGATGAGGGAAGCTCAGAGTGTCCAGGACCCTGGCCAGCATCCCAGCCGTCGGTGATGCCCCGTGAACAGGGAAAGGTCGGAACCAGTCAGCCCACTGGGCCCTCTTTTTGAGCCTGGCCCCAGGGAGAGAGTCTGGGGAGCAGGCACTGATCTTAGAGAACATAAATACACACCTGAAAGTCCAGTGACAGGTCACAACACTGAGCCATTGGTGACGGACAGCACATGACGTGCAAGCTCTGTGTGTGTGTGTGTGTGTGTGTGTGTGTGTGTTCCCCTGTCTCCGTGTTCCCTGCTGTTGGGTGCTGGTAGTCCATTCTGGGACACGGTGACCACATGGGACACGGTGACCACATGGGACACGGTGAGCAAATGGCTGTGGGACAGGCCTCACTGTGGGAGCAGACAGCCAAGCCTTTCCTCCCTCAGAGCCCATGGTGGGTTCGAACCATCAACCTCTTGGTCAGCAGCCACGTGCTTTCTACACTTTGTAGAGGTCAGCAGTGGCCCAGTGGGAGAATTCTTTGCTGCCAGTGCTCCGTGCATATTACCTGCACGGTGTGGCCTAACACTTGCATAGCCTAACTATGTTGTTGTTGTTGTTGTTGTTGTTGATTGCCTTTAAGTCAAGCACAACTCGTAGCGACCCTATAAACAAAAGGCCTGAAGCCCCTCTACAGCTATCAACATTTATCCAAGTTCATAGGGTTTCTGGAGGCGTGTTGTTTAGGAAGTGGATGCCACTCCTGCTTCCTGCATAACCATCAGCCCAGCAGATCCAAGTACCTCACGAAGGTGGCCTGGGGTATGGAGGGAACTGGCACAGAATCCAGTCTTTTTCACTGCAGAGACCAAGCTTTAGCTGCCAATTAATGAAATGGGGGATTAATAACAGCAATGTTGTGTTATTGTAGAGTCGACCATGACTCATAGTAACCTCCTAACAGAACATCATAGTTCCAGGCCCTGCACCCATAATAACAGTTGTTATTGTGTACTGGTGAGTCAGAACTGACATAATTGACTTTCCAGTAGCTTCTCAGAGGCAGTAAATCACAGGGGAGGAGATTACCTATCTTTCTCCCACGGAGCAGTTGGTGGATTCAAACCACGTACCTTTTGGTTGACAGCATAATTCCTTACCACTAAGCCAACGAAGCCCAAACCAGACCCACTGCCATCTAACTGGTTCTGAGTGTCGTGACCCTGTAGGATGGGTAGAGGGACCTGCAGTGCAGTGTAACCTTCACGGGAGTTGGCTGCCCCATCTTCCTCCTCAGCGGGCTTGAACTGCCAACCTTTTAGGTTATTGTTGTTATGTGCAGTCAAGTTACCTACAACTCATAGTGACCTTATGTGCAACAGCCCTAAACCCTGCTCTATCCTGTGCCAATCTTATTGTCTTTGACAAACCTACACTCATTATCCCAGTCACTGAATCAATCCATCTCATTAAGGGTCTTGCTCTCCTGTGCTGTCCCTCTCCAAAGATTGGTCCCTCCTTGCAACGTGTCCAAAGTATGTCAGATGAAGCCTCAGAATCCTTGCCTCCAAGGAGCAGCCTGGTCTCATCCTCTGTAGGATGAACCTATCTGTTCTCCTGGCAGTCCATGGTATATTCAATAATCTTCTCCAGCATCACAGCTCAAAGGCATCAATTCTTCTGCCATCCCTAGTCATTGTCCAGCTTGCGGATGCATAGCGAGTAATTTTAAAGACCATGGCCTGGGTCAGGTGCACCTTCGTCTCCAGACTGACATCATTGTTCTTCAGTACTCTGGAGAGGTCTCTGACAGCAGACTTTCCCAATGCAATTTGTCTTTTAATTTCCTGGCTGCTGTTACCAAGAATGTTGACTGTGGAACCAAGCAAAGTAAAACTATTAACGATCTTGATTTCTTCACCATCTATCATGATGGTGCCAATTGTCCCAGTGGTGAGAATCTTTGTTTTCTTGATGTTGAACTTCAATCCATATTGAAGACTGCAGTCCTTAACCTTCTGCAGCAAGCGCTTCAGGTCCTCCCCAGTTTCAGCAAGCAGGGTTGTGTCATATGTATAACGCAGACTGTTGATAAGCCTTCCTCCAATCCTGATGCCACACTTCTCCTCATAGAGCCCAGCCTCCCGGATAATCTTTTATGTAACAGTCAAACATCATTTCCACAACACCACCAGAGAGTGACAATAAAATATCAGCAATAAAAACATACCAACAGCACCACTGCCATCCAATAATAGTCTGACTCCTGGTAACTCTACACCTAGTTTCTGAGACCTCTCTGGGAGAAAACTTCCCATCGTTAGTCCATGGAGCAGCTGGTGTATTTGAACCACCGACTTTTCAATTATCAGTGCAATTCATAATGCATCAGAGTAATGCAGCAAACTTGTTGCTGTTGAGTCAAAACCCACTGGTAGCTGACCCTCCAGCAGGTTTGCAGCTTTTCCCCTCACGTGAGAGGAGCTTGCCTGTCATTCTCCTGCAGAGCTGCTGCTGCTGCTGGTGGTGTTAGGTGACATTGAATATGACTCATAGAAACCCTGTGAACAGACCTGACCCCTGCCCTGTCCTGGACCGTCCTCAGTGCCTCTGATACACCTGAGTCCATGGCTGCAGTCACTGTCAGTCTGTGTCACTGATCTCCTTGATGGATTTCTCTTTTGCCATCCCTCCCCTTTTCCAAGCCTGATGTCCCTCTCTAAGGAATAACCTCTCCTAGCAACATGCCCAAAAGTATGTGAGATGAAGCTTCAGCATCCTTGCCTCCAAGGAGCACTCTGGCTGCACCTTCTCCAAGACATACCTGTTTGTTCTTTTTGCAGTCCATGGACTGTTCAGTGCTCTTCTCCAACATCACAACTAAAGGCATCAATTCTTCTATCATTCTTATTCATTGTCCAGCTCTCAGATTTGTAGCAAATGATTGAAAAGACCATGGCCTGGATCAGGTGCACCTTAGTCTTTAGACTGACATCATTGCTCTTTGGTATTTTGGGAAGATCCCTGACAGCTGACTTGCCCAGTGCAGTACTCCTCCTGATTGCTGGTATACCAAGGTTGTTGATTGTTAACTGCTGATATGCTGCTGTTATGTACTGTGGAGTTGGAACTGCACCATAGCTGACGCTCTGATAGGTTTTCAGAGATAGTTAATGGAACAGAAAGAGACTCCATCCTTTTCCTACAGAGCAGCTCATGCCTTCAGGATCGCAGCACAGCTTCTTACCACTCGGCCACCAAAGCTTCCCAGATGCTGGTGTGTTGTGTTGTTGTTGTGTACCACCGAGTCAGAACTGACCCACAGCTGACCCTCTGGCGGGTTTTCAGAGGCCGTTAATCACACGGGAGGCGATATCCCGTCCTTCTAACCACACTGCTGCTGTAGTTAGTGCTAATTGGATCCCAGGCATTTGTGGATGTGTGCTAGCCTTGGTTTGCCAAGCAGCTGGCGCCAAGATGCAATTACGTGCACAGCACAGTGATTAAGGGAGCGGCTGGAGGGAGGACACTCAGAGCCTGGAGGGACCCGGCCTGTTACACCAGTCCAGGAGCTGGGGAGAGAAGGGAGGGACGGGGCGGTGGGACGGCTCAGAGTGAAGGTGGCAAATTTAGGGAGAATTTGGCAAGGCCATGGGGGTGTCCTTGAGCCAGAGATGCCATCAGAGGAGGCTGGTGTGCCCCAGGACCTGTCCTCCAGTGCCCGTATGCCCGGACGCCAGCCGGTAGTATCTCTGCTTGACGGGACAAGGCCCCTTGGTGTCCTCCAGTGCCCGCATCCCTGGACTCCAGTTAGTAGTATCTGTGCTCAAAGGAACAAGGCCCCTCGGTGCAGTGTGAAGGTGAGGCCCTGGCAGCAGATCTGAGAGGCACAAGCACTTTGCCTGCATGTTCTCAATGAACCCCCAAAGTCGACGCCACAGTAGGAGTAGATCTCTCACACCTGTGTGATTAGATTAAGGTGGTCTTTGTTCACACAACTAGAAAAGGGCCCAGGAGGGCAGGAGGGCTACAGACACACCAAACACCTGGGTCCGTGTGCATCTCCCTCCATCCCTCCAGCCACCCAGCACCCAGTGAGGGGCCTGATGGGGTCACACGGAGGAGCAGTGGCCGTGCTTGAGCCCCTACTGCTAAGAGGCCAGGCTCTCCCCGCCATGTGGTTGCCACCCCCATCCTGGGTCTTGATCGCATTCTGTCTAACCCCAGAAACTGGCTCTGTGTTCTGACAGAAAATATGCCAAGTGGAGCCGGAGGGGCACCTCAAGGTGGAGCTGGTGCTGAGCGCAGCGGAAGCCCTGCTGGCCTGCTGCCCCGAGGACCAGAGGCCTGCGATCCTGGCCCGACTCAGGGACGTGAAGGCCCAGTGGGAGGAGACGGTTACCTACATGGTTCACTGTCACAGGTAAGGATGACTGTCTGCTTGTCTACCCCAGGCTGCCGGCCCAGCCTGGGCTGCTGGCCTTAACCCGGGCTGCTGGCGCACCCTGGGCTGCTACCCAAAGACCTGTCTCTTGGCCTGAGAAGGTGAACGTGGGATGTCCTCCAGGCTGGGCCAGCCTTTCTGCTTCTCCAGTTACAATCAGGCTTGATGGTTGAGAATGCTCCCTGAGAGATTCGTGTGTCTGCCAGTAATTCTTCAGGGTAGGACCAGATTACCCAACAAGCATCGGTGCGCCAGGGTCCAATTGCACCTTTCCACCAACCTGCAGGGTGCAATTTCACCTGTCCCCACCACTCCTACTGTGGTCAAACCATGTGAGCTCACTCAGCACAGATTAGCAAGTAAACACAGGCAAACTGCTTGCCTTCTCCCAGCAAACCAGGCCAGAAGGTGCGTCCTGGGTCGTCGACCCTATTCAGCGTTCTCCCTGTATGGGTCCCCGCAGTGAGGATCCTGGTGTCAGAGGGCTCGCTGCCCTGTAGCACGATGGCTCATGTGCTGTCTGTGCCCGGGAGAGGGGAGTGGAGGGACCAGGTGGTCGGTGAGGAGGCATAGAGCAGGGCATTCAGGCTGTGGGTGGGCTGGCGCCTGCTCTGCTGGTTACTCCCTGGCAAAGTCGTTTAGCCTCTCTGACCTCAGTCTCCTCGTCTGGACAGTGAGGGATCAGGTGTCTCTCGGAAGTCGTTAGGACGCTGGATAGAGATGGAGAACAAGGTGCTGTCCAGCACGTTCAGGAGCCCTCCATGCAGACCCCCTGGCCCCCTCCCATTCCCACTGAACCCTAACAGGCCCACAGACCCGCCTGTGCTCAGCACGCAGTAGGTAAGTCCCCAGTGCAGTCTTCTGGGACAGTGTGTGTTAAGAGCATGGCGTTGAAGGACTCTATGGAACACAATGTACATGCATTAAATACAATGTATATAAATGATGAAAATATTATTATTTTTTATTTAAAAAGAGGGTGGATTGAATCCACCAGATGCTCCGCTGGAGAAGGAAGGGCAATCTCCTCCTGTACCAGTCAGATCTGATTAGATGGTACACACACACACCAAATAATAATAATTTTAAAAATAAAAAGAAAAAAAGAGGGTGGAGTGACTCCACCATAGATCCCGACACCGGAGAGAAATGATGGGGGCAAGCAGTGTCTGTGCAAGGTTAGTGGGAGTTCAAGGCTAGACTTTGGGGTGCAGGTGGCTGAAACTGGTGCTTCTCTGAGTCTGGAAGGAAGCTGGACCCCTGCCTGCTCCTTCGTCCCTGCTAGTGCAAACCGGGTAAGTGCTCAGCTATGAACCAGAAGGCTGACTGTCCAAATCTAGCCGGGGTGCCTAGGAAGAAAGGGCTGGCAATCTGCTTCTAAAAGACCAACCCACTCCAAGCCGACTGTCACAGAGTGGATTCTGATTTTTTAAATTATTAGTTTTTTCTATAAATATTTTTTGAGAGGCGACTACCCATCTGTCTCTCACACAAAGATTAGCGGATTCAAACTCCTGGCCTTTCTGTGAGCCCCATAAATGTACCCTACACCACCTGGGCTCTGTTCTGAAATGAAATCCCTGTGCAGCGTAGCTCTGCTCTGTCACATGGGCTTGTTAGGAGTGGAATCAAAGTAGAGGCAGGCGGGTTGATCTCCATTCTGCTCCTTCCTCACCCACAAGGAGTCCTGGTGGTGCAGTGGATTAAGACTGGGCTGCTAACGAAAAGGTTGGCAGTTCAAATCCACCAGCCATTCCACAGGAGAAAGGATCTTTCCTCCTGTAAAGTTTTTTTGGGTTTTTTTTAATTAATTTAGTTTGTTTATTTTTCATTTCAGTGAACATGTACAGAGATTTTGGAATTCCATTCATTCATTGTTGCACCCTTCTCCCCGCACAAACCCCTCCCCCCCCATTTGCTCCTCTCCTTGAAAAGCAAAAGAAAAACTCCCTCATTGGTACCCAATCCCCCCGCACCTCCCCAAACCTCACACCCTACCCCCAAATATAATCCACTCTGCAATCCTCATTGCGTACTCCTACGATAAAAACAATGCCCTAAGATATAATACTTTTAGACTATTCTCTCCCCCATAGACTTCAATGCCGTAAACATATTTCATCCAGTTTTTCTCAGTCTTACCCCCACCCCAATGCCAGCCTCATTCTACAACAGTGGCACTATGCAGTATTTGTCCCTTTGTGACTGAGATACCTCACTCAGCATAATGCCCTCCAGGGTCACCCATTTTGAATAATATTGCATGAGTTCCTTGTTTTTCAATGCAGCATAGTATTCCATTGTGCGAATATACCACAGCTTCTCTACCCATTCGTTTGTTGATGGGCATTTAGGTTGTTTCCAACTCCTTGCTATTGTGAACAAAGCCGCGATAAACATGGGTGTGCATATATCTGCTTGGATGTCATTTATGGTCTCTTTAGGGTATATTCCCAGTAGTGGAATTGCTGGGTCAAATGGTATCTTTATTTGCAACTTTTTGAGAAAGCGCCACAATGCTTTCCACAGTGGATGCACCATTTTACACTCCCACCAACAGAGAATAAGGGTTCCAGTCTCTCCACAACCTCGCCAGCATTTGTTGCTTGCACCCTTGGAAACTCTATGGGGCTGGTCTTCGTCTTATGGTCATGCCAAGTTGGAATTGACTCAGTGAATGTGGGTTTGATAACGGGGGGTTAGTGCCCCATCATGGAGCTTATTTCTAGGACCCACTAAAACCCACGTGGTTGAGTGGATCTCGACAAGTGTAAGCCTTCCCTCAGGTCTCCGAGATTGTAAATTCTCATGGGATGGATGAAACTGCCCATGTTTTTGACTCAGAGCAGTTAGTGGATTCAAACCACTGACTCAAGTAGCAGTGTGACATGTAACGAACGCATCCTGCCTCCTGAGCGCCTCCACTTCTAGGACAGGAAGTTCTGTAGGACAGAGGTAGTGGCCAGTCTGGAGTGTTCATAGGCTGCCCAAGGTGCGCTGAAGCCTAGGAGGTATGTTACTCCCCTGTCACCCGGCCCGTTAGTGGTGGGACGCAGGTGGAGCCTGGTTCTGGTCCAGGATCTGGGTCCCTGAGCTCATGGCCTGTGCTCCGTCCACAGCCGCATCGAGTGGGTCTGGCTGCACTGGAGCGAGTACCTGCTGGCCCGAGATGAGTTCTACCGCTGGTTTCAGAAGATGATGGCGACCCTGGAGCCCCAGGTGGAGCTGCAGCTGGGCCTGAAGGAGAAGCAGTGGCAGCTGAGCCATGCCCAGGTGCTGCTGAACAACGTGGACAACCAGGCGGTTCTCCTGGACCGGCTGCTGGAGGAGGCGGCCTCCCTGTTCAACAGGATCGGGGACCCCAGTGTGGACGAAGAGGCTCAGAAGAGGATGCAGGCCGAGTACGATGCTGTGAGGCTCAAAGCGCAGGTGAGGCACACTGGCTCTGTCATCCCTTCGCCTGTCCCTCACCTTCCCTGCTGTTCCTGCGGTCACCCCCCTGCCATCCACCCATCCAGTCACCCATTTACTCACTGTGCCCTCAGCCACCACCCACCACCTGCATGCCGTCGTCTACCTGTCTGTCCATCCTTCCACTGACCCACCCCCCACCTCCCCATCACCAGCTCACTCATCCAATCAACCACTTATCCACCTACCCACCTTCCACCTACCTTCCCTCAGGTAACCCAGCACCACCTCGCTCACCCTCTGTCCATCCTCCCACCCTTCACCTACCACTCACCGCCCTACCCATCACCAACTCACTCAATCTCCCCCTCATTTATCTGCTCACCCACTCTTCCGTCTGCATCCACCAGCTTCACCATCACCAAGGCACTCACTCCATCTACCTTGCATCTTTCTGTCCACCCACCGCCCTTCCATCTACCTGATCCTCAACTTACCCATCACCAACTCGCTTGTGCTCTGTTCGTCTGCCCACCCAACCACCTTTCCATCTACTCTTTCCTTTCCATATAGCTACCCACTTACCTTCTATTTCCCTGAACAAATCTACACAAGCTCTCAATCCACCATCCGTTCACCTGCCTGCCTCCTACCAATTATCCTCTGATGTATTCAGCCTTCCACCTACCCAATCATTCTTCTACCCAAACTCCTATTCATTTGTCTACCTACTCATCCGTCTACATCCCCACACACTCAGCCAGTCTCTTTCTATTCAACTACTTACTCACCTGTTCACATGTCTGCTTACTCAACTACGCATAATCCCACTTGCTCGTGCAGCTCTCCACTGTCTGTCGCTCACCCTTTGTCTGCCCCCACCCTCCTTATTACTCATTATCTTCCTGTCACTCACTCTTCCATCCAACTACCAACCCACTAATTTTCTGTCTACCCTCCACCCACTCATCCTTGACCTATTATGCACCTATCCTTTACACACCTATTGCCTAACTCCCCGCCCAACCGTTTTCCATCGCTCCACCCATCATTCGTCTACTTGCTCCTCACCTGCTTCCTTCCACATGCCCACCAGGCTACACAACCACGACTGTGCTGAAGCCCCTTGCTGCAGTCACTGCCAATCCGTCTTCTTGAGCGATTTCCTCTTTGTCTTGACCCTCTAAGGGGAGGCGTGTAGAGACACATATCTGTCAGTTCCTTCTATGGGGGATTGATTTGCATGCTGCTAATTACTTGAAGCTGCACTGCGATCCCAAAGCCACCAGCTGCTCTGTGGGAGGAGGAGGAACAGTCGGCTCCCGTGTGATCAACAGCCTCTGAAAACCCGCCGGAGGGTCAGCTGGGGGTTGGTTCCGACTCTACAGAACACAACAACAAGAGCTACTTTATGGATGGGTGTTTATAAGCTTGCTTGTTTACTGTTTGCGCTTGTTTGTCCAGCACTTGTCTGTCAGCCTGCTGTACTGATGTAATGTGGAGGTTGCTGTGATGTTGAAAGTGATGCCACTGGAGTGCCAGGTGCCGGAAGGGTCACCTGTGGTGAACAGGTTTCAGCAGAGCTCCTGGATTAAGACATACTAGAGATCAGGACCTCTCCAAAGTACTGAAGAGCAATAGTGCCTCTCTGTAGAATAAGGTGCGTTTGATACAGGCCATGGTCTTCACAATCACTTGTTATGCATCAGAGAGTTGGACAATGACCAAGGAGGATAGAAGGAGAATTGATGCCTTTCAGCTGTAGTGCTGGAGAAGAGTATTGAGAGTACCATGGACTGCTAGGAAAACAAACAGATTCATCCTGGAAAGGGTTAAACCAGGTGGCTCCTTGGAGGCAGGGATTCTGAGGCTCTGTCTAACATACTTTGGACATGTTGTAAGGAGGGACAGGTCCTTGGAGAGGGACATCATGCTTGGAGGGACGGCGCAGGAGGGGAAGGCCCTCTATGAGGTGGGCTGATTTCAGTGATTGGGGTAATTGGGATGGGAGTGTCAGAGACAGTGTGATTGGCACAGGGCAGAGCAGAGTTTAGGGCTGTTGTACATAGGGTCGCTATGAGTCTCAAGCGACTCGACAGCACATAACAGCAACAACAGAGATCAGGACTGGACATCCACGGCCAAAGCAGCAGGCCTTTGAAGAGCAGAGAAACACAGGTAGTGAAAGTATCAGCGGTAGAGCTGAGATGGGAAGTCACTCAACTATGATGCAAAACAGCTGAAAACAACCATTAATTATTGAGCCATGGAATGTATGGACTATGAAGTAGGATACCGTGCTTGGAAGGGTGGAGGGTCAGTGAAAGAGTGGAGGACGCCCATGGAGATGGCTTGATTATAGCAATGAGCCTCGGTGTATCAGAGATGGTGGGGACGGCAGGTCTGTTGTTCATAGGAATTGTACTCGACTCGATGGCACCAAACAACAGAAACAGACATGCATCGTATATCTCTTGGATAATAGGGATTGTTGCAATGGGCATGGCAGGTGGTGGAAGACAAATAGCAGTTATTGTTTATCAAGTATGATACGCAGATACCTGGCTCTGTGTAGGGCCTTCTGCATCACGGTTTCATTTAATCCACAAGAGTCTCATCAGAGAAGTGCTATTATTACACCCATTTTACAGAAGGGAAAACAGAAGCCTAGACCGTGAGTGAATTGCCCAAAGACACACAGCCTGAGTGCAGCCAGGACTCAGCTCAGGTCTGCCTGACTCAAGCAAGCCCCAGACCTTCGTACTGTTGTCCTCTAAGGGAGCTGGTTCTCAGAGCACTGTTGACCACGGAGGTTGACTTTAGCATCATGTGGCCCTTGGATCTGAGGCTGAGCCATGGCCGCACTCAGAAAACCCCTGTCCCCTTGGCCAGCCTGTCCTGTGTACAGCTTCTCTGTGTCCCTCCATGTAGTATCAGTGATATAAACAGATTTGATATCCCTTGAGATATCGCACTTGGGTGACTATCCCTGGTATCTCTGTTTGGGGACCTGGTGTTGTTTGTCGGGTCTCTGGACGTGTGAGTTGTGTGCTGAGGTCTCTGTGGTTTTGCCCAGTACAACACTTTCTATTAGCAAGCCTGTTCTCAGCCCAGCGAGCTGACTGCGTGTGGATGAACATGGCCTCTGTGGTCGGTCCAGCGTTTGCTTTGAACAGCCCCCTCCACTAGTGTACCACCTGTTTTTATATCAGCGTGTTGACTTGGTGCCCCCACCCCCAAACCAGTGGGTGTTCTAAATGTGACCTCCAAACCCAGATGCCATAACAAGCCTTTGGCCCTTGAACTGTCCCTTCCTGTGGACGCTGGGCTGAAAGACACACTTCCTTCCACTGCCCCCTGGTGGCAGATTTGTTCTTAACCTTGGACTGAGGGGCAGCCATCCGGGGTGGGGTCTGTCCTGGGGGCCTTGGTCTCCCCATAAGCCTTCTTTTCCCCGCAGCACTGAAGCCTCTGGTTGTGGAGTCCAGAGCACACTCCGGGGAGTGGCCGGCTCCTTGCCAGGGTTTTTGTTTGTTTGTTTTGAATCCTCCCTTAAAGGGCGCTTGTCTGGGTCCTGGCCCTGAGTCAAAACTGTCACGTGGCCCTTTGCAGAGATCCAAGTCCCCACGCCTCCGCTGGCTGGACTCAGCCCGGCTCAGAGGCCCCATTGTTTGGTGGTTGAGAAGGCTGAGCCCCCTGCCCCCCATCTGTCACCCTGTCATTCTCTGACGTGGGTGGCTGGTTTTGCTCTGCCCAATGGACTCCTGTGGCCGTGACGCCTGGCCTGTCCCTCTCCGGATCCCTGCCTGCCTGGCACGCTCCTGTCCTCGTGCCGGTCGCCTGTCATGGAGATGCTTGTTTACGCTGGGTCTTTCCGAGTGACAGCCCCTCGTGGTGTACGCGTGGGGACCGCCAGCCTGCACACCGTCCCTGAGTTCCCAGCACCGACCATTCCGGCTCGTCACCCCTGCCTGCTGTGCTCAGACGGCTCTGCTTCCTCGGTGGGACTCCCCTGTGGGTGGACCAAGTCCTGGGAGGATTTGTAGATATTTTTTCCTTTTCTTTTTAAATTCATTTTAATGAAAGTTTACAGAGACAGGGTTTCCATTCATTCATTGTTGTACTTTTATCCCTGCCCACTCCCTCTCCCTAATTCACTCTTCTCCTTGAAATGTAAAAGAAAAACTTTCATTGTTATGCAATCCCTCCCCCCAAGTCCACTCCACTGTGCAGCCTTCATTCAGGATTCCTATTATGAAAATAATGCCCAACCATATATCCCTTTTAAACAGTTCTTGCCCTCATCTGTTTCAATGCAGTGTACATTATTCCTCCCCTCCTTCTCTGTCTTCCCTCAACCCTGATGTCAGTCCCATTTTACAACAGTGGCACTATGCAATATTTGTCCTTTTGTGACTGAGATATTTCACTCAGCATCATGTCCTCCAGGGTCATTAAAGATTATTTTGTAGTCTTGTAAAATATTGAGAACACATACAACACACAGTCCCAAACCCCAACCCTGTGCTGTTGAATTGACCTTGACTCAGAACCAGCTTGTAAGACAGAGTGCAAAAGCCTCACAGGATTCCCCCGGCACGTCATCCTCGTGGAAACACATTGCCACGTCCGTCTCCTGTGGAGCAGCCCGCGGATTTGAACTGCTGACTCTTCTGTTAAAAGTAGAGTGCTTTAACCACTGTCCCGTCAGGGCTCCAATAGATAGCATGATATCTCTCTATTTGTGTAGGTGAGAAAGCAAAATGGTGCAGCCATTGTGGAGAATGGTGTAGCTGCTCAAAGTTAAGCACAAAGCTCCCATTCAAAAAGTGGGGGAGGACACCCCAAAACAAACAACCCCGTTGCCATCAGGTTGTTCAGACTCCTGGAGACCCTCCATCAGATTCCAAAGCTGTAAAAGTCCTTCTGAGAGAAGGTCGCAGTTTCTCCCACATAGTAGTTGGTAGATTTGAACCGTTGATCATTAGGTTAGAAGCCCAGTAACTAACACATTAAGA